CCCCTGATAATAACTATTATGACCAGATTAGCAATAAACATTAATGTATTTCTGTGTCATACATTATATATCAAATAAAATAAAAAAGGAATGATAAATATCGGTAGTTTGTGCAGTCAAAAAATTATCAGTTATAAGAATAAAGAACTATAAAGGGCATGAAGAATAAATCATGTACGAGAATTAACCGATACGTGTCCACAAAAGCGTATAAAAATAAGGTAAGATAAATTAATTTGATACTAAATTTTATGTTGAAGTCCTGAATCCTGTTTCATGTACAAGTATTGAAAAAAAATGTCATTTTGCTCGCGAAAAGTCCAATAATATTGACATTATCTGAAATTTATAATAAAAAAATCTGTCCGTTTTCGAGAAACTAGTTTTTCAGTAGAATGAACCAAATTTCGAATTTATCAAGATAAAAAAAAAACATAAAGTATAATATCTTATTTGATATATATATAACGTATTCAGTAGTTGAATAAAACAAGAATTTGTATTGCTTGAAAAAAAAATTGAATTTTAAAATAAGATATGTCACGTCATCTACCACAGTATCATTTATTTTTTTTATTTTCATATATTACTTGTGATAATATATTCATTGCTCACATAATAGGATATATATAGTAATGTTGATATACAACAAAGAAAAAAGGAAATCTAATGAAAAATGAAAAATAATAGAGTTATAGAATTATGACCAAAAAAATCCAGTTGGGAATCACTGCACGCAAGGAAATTGTGAAGCTCATATTCTGATAATATTAATCCACTTTACTGTCGCTTAGTTCCAATATGTATACCAAGGAATCCGATTCAGAAATATAATTTAGAGTCTTAAGCCTTTGTTGCCATTTCCACTGACTTGATTGTAATATGTCAACATGGTTCCGGTTAAATTTCAAAGAAAAAGTTATGTTATTAATGAGTGTACCAGGAAGCTCAGTATTCGGAATTTAGACACTCGATTAAAACTTGGTGGTTAGACATTTTAAAGAAATAACGAATACTGTGAACAGCGGGCCAAACACGGAAATATTAATACAAAAAAAAATAATTTCTTTCGAGTTAAGCAGTTGTTCCAGTAAAATATAACTGGTTTCGCCAGGCTTGTATCTTAACCCTCCAGCGTTCGCACAATCATTTCGAACAATTATACTCGCGCTGTACCTTTGAGATGACAATACATTTTCGTGATCTCTGAATGGATATTAAAGAAGTTCTCAATGAACATTTAAGAAGTTCTCTCACAAATTAGTTGGCTGAGAAACAATGTTCATTTTGAACGAGTATAGTGGAATAATTGTAATGATTTTATCTATCCATAACAATTTGAAAAACAAAATAGTTATGCTAGACCAAACAAAAATTACAAATTACTATTATTTTTTTTCTATATACAAACAAGTTTACCTTTCATAGGTGCAATTCTATTATGCAAACTATATTATTAAATTTCTCATAATAATATTTTTAATTTGTAAATTTAAAAAGAAAAATGTTTTAATAGTTTTCTAAATGTCATTTTTTAAAAATGTTTTTCATCCAATTTTTCTAAAAAGGACATTTCTCAATAGCAGTCAATTTTTGATACCCCGCGAATATCCGCTTCTTGTGAAGAGAAGTTTCAAAATTGTAACTAAAACGGGCTAGTATTACTAACCGTTTAGTCTTAATTTTTATTCATGAAAACGCGTTTTTTGTTTTCTTATCTTACTCCGTCCTGGCAAATGATTAATTTTTAGGGGCGGCGTGGACAAGCGGACTAACGAGTGTGCACAGCGCTGCGCATTGCCCGGCAACCTGCTAACAGAATAGAAGACAATAATTATGAGTTAAATGTTAGTAAAAGACCCGCTGGCCGGAGGGTCTTTTAACTATGGCATTAATCCCCCGCCCTCACCTCCTGGCCCGCGAAAACCTCCGTATAACCTAAATGGCGAGGAAAACAAAAAAAGATTAATTTTTTATTATTATTTGGAAAGCTATAGTCAAATATACAATTCCACAATAAAAAACTTAAAATGTTTAAGCACCATACTATATTTGATTAGTATTACCTACAGTAAACAGTAAGTCTCAGTTTGACTTACTGCAAATTTTGCAGGGTCTGGTCTTGGTATTGGTCTTGGTCTTGCAAAAGTACAAGATCAAGACCAAGACCGATTTTGGGCAACACTAGTTCCTATTGTCTCCGAACTGAGTTTCGCAGGTGTAGAAATACATGACGGAGGAAAATTTATTTAAAAAAAATAAACTTCATTTATTTTTTCGAACAACCTTTTATTCGAGCACAAGAAAATACGGGTTATCTCCCGGATCCACTTTTTATTCAGTTCCAATAGATCTTGACGCATTGCCACCTCTAGCATCTATAGTCTCCTTGAAGAATCCATGCGATTCATAGAACTGGTCACTCTAATAATTTGTATATTTCTCATTAGAAAGTTTTGTTCTTTTCTTAAAATAGCTTCTGTCGGGAACGTTTTCATGAAGGAAAATACTAATTATTTGGTCTCCGATTTGATCGGAATCAGAAATTATTTTTTTTCTTAGAGAACTCGTTTCCAAGCTACAGGGTCATTTATAGTAATCTTTCTCAGATTTTGATAATATCAGTAAAAATTAGCGTTTATTGGCCCAGGTTATCGACCATATCACTTCATTTAAATTATTAAGTTTAGGTACTCGTTCGAAGCACAATTTGACTTAATATCTTAAAGAATGCATTTTTCGCTTTGATGCACTATTTAGTAGCAATACATGAAAAAAAAGATCAGATAAATCTCGATTTTTTGGCTGTAAAAAGTTTTCTCTTGGTGACCTGCTCAGGCGGATGTACGGGGGAGAGGGGCTCTCGGGCTTAAGTCCCTCTACCCAAAATGGTAAAATATAACCAATGTTTATAAAAAAAATTATCTCTAAAAGTATTATTGTTCGTCTAATTACATTTAATAGGATTTAAAGAATCACACAACACCCTTTCATACAGGTATGTAGTTTCTTTCTTTCTTCCAAAGTAATTATCCTAATATATAGATACAAACAAATCGTACTTAAAATTCAAATCCTGGATCCGCTGTGGTGACCCGTGTTAGCAATTTAGTTTTTTACATGTCTAAACCCACATACAGGGTATCTCCTAAGTACCCTTCGTCGTAAACCAACTACTTCCTGTCCTACAGTTTCCTTTAACAATACTCCACTTATCCCTGTTGAGCAAATCCGATACCTAGGACTCCACCTGGACAAACGACTAACTTGGAATCCTCATACTAGACTGAAACGACAAGAAACCGCTCGACGTTTCCGATTACTTCAGCACTTACTAGACAAACGCTCTAAACTTCCCATTAATTACAAAAAACTCATATACTTGACTATAATAAGACCTATTTGGACTTACGGAGTTGAGCTATGGGGCTCCACTAAACCATCGAATTCCTCTCGCATCCAATCCTTACAATCCAAAATCATCCCAACCCTCTCGTTTCTAACCTTGCTTCCTCTTCAATTCCTGATAACCCTCCGAGGCGTCTGAAAAGAAGATGGCCCCGTGATCTCCTAATGTAGTCATATCATTAGAGTGCTGCCATTGGGTGGTTACTCAGCAAGTGTATTCATGTCATTATATCTATTATGTCCAAATTTACTTGATGTATTTATGTAATACAGTTGTAAATGTCATTAAGAAAAAAAAAAAAAAAAACATTAAATAGGAATCACTTAAACGCCATTTGGTATAGGTAGTTAGTTTCTTTCTTTTTCTTTTAAAGTAATTATCGTTTTATATATATAAAACCTTTGGGCTGAAGACTTCTCGAAATTAAATTCTGGATCCGCTAGTGGTGGCCATCTATTGTGATTTTACCACACTCTGTCCATCTTATCACTTGAATGGCTATTAAGGAAATTTAATTCCTTTTTAATTTATTCACTATCGTTTAGGCACCCTCTAGTCTGTATAATATAAGGTTCTAACATCCTATGATCTAATTTGGAGGACAGTTACCATGTTGAGACAGTCATATTTTTGAGGATAGTTTTTAGTTTCGTGATTTGATACTTTTTGACGAGATAGAGTTAACAGTCCTATGACTGACCCCCAACCTGAAGAACTAGGACCAAGAGATATGTCAGATAAAGGGGTTGCCTACCTCGTTGTGCCTCACGGGGTAAGGAGATTACCGTCTTCATGCGGGGATCGAACCCGTGCCGTGCCATACTGGCCTGAATACTTAGGACGTGTGGTCTTATTATAATTTATTTAATTATCGCATTTTTTTTATTTATTTTAATCATTTAATTATTGTTTGTGGAATCCAAGGACCGGAATTCAAACCCACAACCTTTGGATTTCTAGATTGGTGCGGTTCCCCCCGTTTGATATATTAACGTTGATAAGGGTTTTGAGAATTTGATATTGATTCTGCCCCAAATTGAAAATAAATAGGCTCTTTTTTTAAATGATAATTTTAAAAAATTAAATTAAAAAGTAAAAATAAAAGTTCCTTGATGTTTAATTACAAAGGTTTTTGAAAGTTAAAACAAGATTTAATTTCTCTTATGATTTGATACCCTCTAAATTCTGCTGCCTGAGACGTATGTACTGTATATACACACAAATAGTGTTCATGCAATATGAAGCAAGTACAAATGCACATAATATGAATTGTCCACGCGCGCAAGTGTGTGCCAGTTTATATAGAAATGTCAGTAAAACTCATTATTATTATGTTCTGAAACCTTGGCAAATAGATCAACAATCACATCGATCTATTAGTCTAATACTTATCCTTTCAAAAATTTTTCTTTGGGTAAGTTTGGATTTCATTCAACAAATAATGTTGTTATATAAGGCCTAAAAGTTTTTAGCCTTACCAGAACGTAAAAAAAAAAATTGTGCTGACTTAATTTTGGACATAACCAATGCACCCTTCTGGTTGTGAAATGTTTAATTGTTCTTCATGTTCAACAGATTTTCTTCAAACCATATGCCTAAGTAATAATAAAAAAAACACATATTTTATCACACAGTTTTGAATATGTATGTCTAACCTTTAATCCTACTTCACTAACAATTCCTTTCAATCACAAACAATTCTACAATAATGCAAAATGCTTAATTTTTACCTACCTCATCAAATATTAATTTTAATTAGGCAACATTTTTGTACAATCTTAATACCAATAGAAATAACTAAAATTTATTTTTAAAAACTTTTTATGCCATAAATTGAATTTATACTTTAAATTGTGTATTTCCAATTTTAAATGTTGGTTTATGAACACCATTCCTCAATCATAATTTAATTTAAAAGAAATTTTCATCCATTTGTTCCAGATTAAATAAAATAGGAAAAAATCCAAACCTAGTTTCCCACCATGAAGAAGAAGAGGAAGAAGAAATGGGAAGTGAAAGTAAAACAATTAATGCAGTTGTGAATGCTCTGTCAGAGCAGGCTGACCATGCCAATACTTCAGTAGAATCAGTAGGAAACCGATCTTTAATTAGTGAATTAGGAAGGAGTTTGCATATCCTTACTGCTAGTTTGCCTCGTCCAAAATCAGAAAGTAATTTTGCCAATATTCAAGAGCTACAAATGAGTTCAAGGCCAACATTCCATAAATCTGACACATTCAGTAAGGAAGAGAACAACACTTACCAATGATCCCATGAATAATTAGTTTTGTCAAGAAGGTTGATTTATAATATGGTTTACATTGAATATTTTTTTTTTAAATCTTTAAAAATGTTAATGTTGTATCATTATATTTGCATGTACTTGTAGATATGTTGACTCTGTTAATTTACTATAATCATTCAATTTATATTGTATAGTTTTTTTTTATATAAAAAAGAAGGAATATATATCTTTGGTGCTAGGCTAAGATTTCTCATCTTACCTTCATAACAGAAATTTGTTAAATACCCTACCAGTTGGTTTTTCAATACAAAACATTTAAACTTAACAATATGATAGATTAAAAGAAAAAGAGTTAAGACAAATCAATTCTTTAATTGAAACTATACTTTTTTTTTTTTTAAATAAAGGAAATATTTGTTAGTTTCTTCAAGTTGCTTTATTATAGATTTTTCTAAATCGTTACACAGGTACTTACATAAAAATGTTTATTTTGTGTAGTATAAGTTGAATTAGTATTTAGATTTTTATAAAGCATATATCTGTATTTTTACTTTGATCATAGAAGTAAGATTCAGAAAAATATTCAAACATGTACACACATACACAAACACAACTAGTGTTCATGCAATATGAAGCAAGTGTAAATGCACATTATATGAATTGTCTGTGCGCGCATGTGTGTGTTTTTGTGTGTGAGGAGAGGAGTTTATGTTTAAATAAAACTCCTGTATTATATTAATTTATTTTATTTTCAATCCATTAATATTTAATAAAAAATAACAAAATAAAAAGAAGAAATGATGCCATTGTTTACAGTATCTCCCTATGAACTATTGTGATTATTCTTATGAATACAAAAATCAAGTCAACTGTTATCCTCTCAACCAACAATGTTGGTAACTTCAAGTATAACATGTAAAGATATATTTTTAAATAAAAATAAGACCTTCAAAAAATATAAACCCTTGAAGGGCTTGATCATTATTTTTGTAGGCAACTAAATAATAATCAATCATTCTATAATCTATTCTGAATCTATCACTGAATATGTGTTATAAAGACAATAACAGAAATGCTAAAGTAATATGAGAACATTCATTGTATTTCTAAGTTTAGATTAAAGATACATTATCAGACGTTTTTCTGTTTATTATTTATATGAACATTTTTATGTTTAACTAAATTATGTCTTTCAGATAATTAAAAAAACAAAACAAATTAGCTAGTAAAATGCATTTTAATCTGGCAAATCTAATAGTAAACATAATCTAATAAATGTATAAATTCATAAATTTTTAATATCAAATAAATACACTCTTTAAATTATTAAAAAAATTAATTAAAAGTAAATGGTACTAAAACATTTGATTATAGTATTCATAACTATTTATTTAAAATTAATTTGTTCCAGTATTCTTTCAATATAAATGGCGAGAATAAACGATTTATACAGTCAAATTTCAAACAATATTAGTTTAAAATTATGAAAAAAGAAACAGATATCTTAATTTTATTTATCTTTATTTTTCAAATTCCTCTGTTCCTTACCTATGTTTAGACCATTGCATGTAATGTATATATATATATATATATATATATATATATATATATATATATTAAATTTTTTCATATAATTTAAATTTAATATAATTTCTTCATTTTTTTCTGATTGCTAAAATTCATTTTTTTATACAAAACAACCTACAGTTTATAAAAAAAAAAAATATAAAGCCTTGTTATATAAACATAACATTTAAAAACTTGCTAATAGTATTTTGTTCATGAAAGATCTATGTGAAATGTGTTTATGCACAAACACAGGTTTATTCATATGTATTTGAAAATAAAAACAGTTTTTATACAAAGGAAGTATATATATTTTTAGTAAATGTATATTTCTAAAAGAAGGTACAGGGTACTTTAATATCACATAATGCACATTCAACATCATGTGGAACTAAGCATGATGTTGAATTAAAAATAACATTATTAGATTGTATTAAATTTTACAGGATTATTGTTTAATAGGCCATTCAGATTTTCGCTTCCTAAATAATGGATCAATCACAAAATTTAAAAGAAAAGCGTTGTGTATTTGATAATGAATATTCATTGCAATGTATTATTAATCAACATATTTTATTGTGCTATATGGACGTTGATGAATTAAATAAGAAATTAATTTTAATTATACTGTCGTATTAATATGTTTATGAGCTATTATTATTTTTTTTTTTTACCACTGAAATAAGCAAATTATATTTTTTTATTAAATATAATTTAAATCTTAAATTAAATACGATTATTTTTCTTAAATTATGAAGACAACTCACTTCTTGTCCTCATTCTTCATTCCATAAGCAAGTAACAGCTAAATATTCTTTACTGCAGATTTAAGGGATTAGATTATATAAAAAGTATATGTTTGCATATACCTTTCATTCATAATATTTTATTTGTCAAATAATTATCAAATAAAATTTAACATGAAATGAAAAAAGATAAATATATATGATTATTTTTATGATGAACAACCTTGATTAGGTTATTCATTTTTTTAAATGAAATTTTGTTATAGTTATTAAGATTTAATCTATACAAAATTAATTTTTTTTCCAAGATCACATATCCTGCCACAGATATAATATATAAAAAATAATTTTACATATGATGTTAAATTGTGTCATTTATAGATCATTTATATAATTTTTGAGGAAAACTTTTATCAAACAAAAGAAAAAAAAACAAAGAAATTTGTGATAAAAAGAAAATATGAAAACAACTGAAGCTGTAAAAATTGATATAACAATTATTGCTACAGAGTGGTGTACTAAAAAACTGTTTTAACGATTTTAAGATTGTTGTTTATTAGATTATTCCAAAATGGAAATTAATGCCGAAACGTTATGTAATACATAGAGAATATAAATTTCTTCTTAAAGAGATGCTTTATTAATAAAATGAGATCTATAGGAATACATGTGGTCTTGGTGAAAAATTAACCATCTATTGATTAAATATCTGTAATTGTTTTATTAATCTTTGGCTGTTCATTGATTTCAATAAATACTAAAAAGAAAATCTGTAAGAAATATGTTAAATTGAAAAAAATAATTTCTACACCATTCTCACAGCTAATTGAATAATCATTGAAATAATAAAGGAATATTTTTTGTGTGAAATCATATTTAGAAACATCCTTCCCAAAAATAATTGGTTAAATGTCACTACATTCGGTAAGCATTATAAATATATTAATATTTACTTTTGTGACAGATTGTAATAATTCTGAATAAATAAGTTGTTACATGTCAAAAAAAAATATATTTACTTAAAGAAATATATATTCCAATTTTAGAATTGTTTGTTATTCTTCCAAACTTTTAATAAGTCTTTCTCAGGTAAAAGCAACTATTGTCAATATTAAACAGCACTAAAAAAACTCGTAATTTGATCCTATACTAAATATTTATCATCCATAAACAACATATTTAGTTTAAAATCATATTTTGATAATTAATTTTATTTTCCTTCATCTAAAGCCAATTATGCAATGATATATACATATAGATAATTTCCATAGGCTTGTTTTGTAGAGGAATGGTTTAAAATGAAAATTAATATTATTTGAAAAATTAGAATATTACAAAATACTTCAATAATAAAATTATTATTGACTCATAATTTTACATTATATTGTGGTTAAAAAAAAAAATCATAATTTAACAAAATTTAAAATTCATATCTAATTGAAATTTCTATTACTAAAAAAAAATTACTTTATTGAATTGATTTATTTTCATAAGTTTTCATTATTTTTATTTTATTACTTAGTAAAATGAACATACATAAATTTTATAACAGATACCTATTTACTAAATAAATCAATTTTTAATTGCCAAGAATATTAATTTATTATAATGATATCAATTTGATTGAATTGAATTTTGGTCTTCCAGCACAACTTAAACATAGCAAGATTAATTCAATAAAAAGATCAGTCTATATGTTATGTGTATATATATATATATATATATATATATATATATATATATATATTGATCTTTTATTTTATTTTATGTATGTATGTATATAATACATAGAAATACAATTTTTTTAAATAAAATGAATGACCAATATTTAATTTTTTTTGTTTGTTTAATTTTATGCTATGAAAAGTTATCCATCTTTAGCTATATTAGTGTCATAAAAGTCAATTCTCACATTTTCTTAACTGTAACTTACTCAAAACCAATGTGGTTCAGTTAATAAACTATATCTTTTTCTTGTAAACAATGACATTATTTGTTTATAAAGTAAGAATTACATAGTGATGTATAATGTTTTTCAAGAAAGGTAATAACCAGAATGTGAATATATTTATTAACTAATCTCTAATGCATTGTACATAAATTCTTTAAGCATGGAGGTTAAATTATATGTAATTGTATATACGTTTTGGCAAAAATAGATTTAAAATGCTGCTGATAATTTCATTGATGGAAATGACTTCTTTCTGTCCATGGTGATATCGACCTTGTAAATAATGTTTGTAGAAGAGGTTATAAATATAAAAGTTTATAAATATATGTATATGCATATATATAAAATAAAAATACAAAAAAATACAGTATTGTAATATAATGAAGAAAACACTTATTTTAGAGTAAGCCAGCTAGGAACAATTGCAATATATTTGTAGAATAACAAAGTAATTTATAGCTTTAATTATTAGAGTGCTCAATTTATGACAGCTGCATTTTTAAGCCTCCTTCCAACATAATCAACAACTTTATGTAAATTAATATTTCTTTCTCACTTTCAGTTATTTATTTTAGTAAATATAGGCCTAACTTTCTTATAATCAAATTGTTAATTTTATAAGTTCAAAGTGCACACATTCTACTGCACAACATTTCTGATTGTTTTGTATATGAAATTGTATTAGTTTGTAAAAAAAAGAAAATAAAAAAAAATAATATTAGTGAAAATCCATAAAACAATAGAATTAGACATGATTAAGAAATTACATAAAAAATTACTTTTAATTCATTTTAGTTATTCTTATTTATTTGTTGTTAGCATTTCTGTGAAAACATAATTTATTTTCTGATTAGAAATGTAAAGGAATTTAAATGTTTTCAGGTTATGAAAAAAATTTTAGGGAATAGATATGTGCCTCTAATTAATCACAACGAAAGTTGTCAATGGTGATTTGCATTTATATACATCTAACATATTTCAAAAGTGGATTTTTCAATGATTTAACTAGTGATATAAGTATTTTTGAATCAACACTGTATCTTTGTTTGCAGGTTTTATCATTAATTTTCTAAAAATATTTTTCTTTACAATCATAGGAATTGGTTTTAGATATGACATTACATGAAACTTAGTGTAAAGATTTTTCATAATAATATTATTTTAAAATTGGTACTTCCATGAATATAGGCGTTCCTA